AGGGGAAGAGCAGGCTTTGTAAAGAGGGGGCGTCTACCATGAATTGCAGAATGAGAATGAGTTTGCTAGACAGAGGTAAGGGTGCATGAGGGGAAGGGAAAGAGGTAAGGGAGTGAGTGGAATGGCGAGGAAGATGATGTGTGATCAGAGGATCCCATGTGCCTCTGAATTCACGAACTCAGACACAGATGATCTCATTCTTCCCTATCTCAATTCCCACTTGCAGTGGTTCTCAGCCTTGGAAGACATTAGAGCCACCCAGAGAACTTTTCACGCCCTGCCTGGGCCCAGCCCCAGAGTGGTTCATTCAGACCCTGGGAGTGCCCTGGGGATGGAGCCTGCATGTCTGTATTTTTCAAAGCTTCCCCCTCAGGATTGTAACATGCGGCAGGGTTTAAAACTCTTTCTAACTCTGTTCATAAATGTCCTCAGCCTTTTTGAGACCTCTGATCCTGGCCATTTTCTTTCCCAGCTCTTCCAACCCCATGGCTCATTCCTTTCCTGCTCCAGGCCAGATCTCGGAGTGCATCTGTATCTGCTCACCTCAGCATGCCCGGACCTTTGCCCCTCAGCGACAGTGTCTAAACGTCGCTGTCCCCATCTTCCCTCCTAGACTGCTTCGCTAGGGGAAGGCTTTATCTGCAGGGAGAAAATGGAGGCTGTTGGTTTGATTTGTGTCCCTGTGTAAGGTATTTTGCCCCCTGCTTGCTCTTCCTCCTCCCTTCTCCTGGCCCTTATCTCGGGCAAGCCTGGCTCTTCATCTGCTGTGCTCCCCTGGTCTTCTTTCATCCCTTGCATTTTACTTTATCACTCAGTCCCTCTTTCGTGTGGCCACTCTTCCCTGCCTGCTGGCTTCTGCTTTTACAGCCGCTAAATGATAAAACATGACCATGATTCTCATTGTTAAATGCAGAAATTCCTTCCTGGAACTCTGGCTACTCCTCCAGCTACTGTCCTGTCTCTTCCCACTTCGTTCATAGTCAGGCTGTATGAGGGTCCCTCCCTGCCCACCTCAGCCATGCTCCTGAAGCTGATATGGTGGAAGTCAGTAGTGTCTGTCTAAGCATTTAGTTCAGCAGGCTCGTTTCAGTCTTGGGTGGCTAACGGGAAGCTCATCTCCCTGTTCTGATGAAGAGATGAATGCCCAGAACTAGAAGTGGAAAAGAGTCAGGCGTGTTCCCCCAAGCCATCTTTTCAGGCCATCCGTCTTCTCCCTGTTGGAATATTGCAGCAGCCTCCAAACTGATCCTGGTGCCTGGGTCTTGCCCTTCTTTGGTAAGGCAGAGTCTACTCTAATGCCAAACAGAAGGAACATGGAGATGGAGCCAGCCTGCCTCTGCCGCCTCACTCCACTCTTTCCTGGATGAGCATGATATTTTGATTGCCTAGTTCACACTGCTTCTTTAATGCCTTTTTATAGTCCTTTCCTTGGAGAATGTGGTAGAAGAACGTGCCCAACATATACGTGAATACATCAAACATATGCGTGCATGCACGCACACATATACACACACGTGTATACACATGCATGTGCGCGCGCACACGCACACACCCTTCAGCCTCTGATTTGTTCAAGATCAAGGCCAAAGTCTCAGAGCACGCCTCACAGAACCCCTGCCAGCCCCTTTTCCTCCATCTGTGCTACCTCTTGATTTGTACAGGCTCCTTGAGTGACACTCTGTCCTTTCTTCCTTTCAGATCCTCTGCAATCCAAAGGAGGAAAGACCACCTACCGCTGAGGTAGATTTCTCTGACTTTCTTGCATGTCTTCTGCAGAGAGGAATATGGGGGGAAAGACTGCTGTAAAATAATAGTGACCCCTAACATGGTCTGAGCTGTTACGTTATGCCAGCCACTGGATTAGTGTTTGACAGTCACTTCTTTTAAAAGCCTTCAGCAAGGGTCCACAAGATGTGCCTGCTGTTATCTCCGCTGTGCAGTGAAGAAATGGGGAGTTTAAGTAACTTGTCTGTTGTGTTAAAGAGTGTGGTTGTATTTCTTAGTCCTCTTGATTCCAAAGAAAATGGCTAAATATTACAGCGCCTAAACAGATACTGTAAAATTTTCTTTCATTTAATAGAAGTGCAGCCAGGCATGGAAGTGCACACCTCTAACTAGCACTTTTGCTGAAGCAGGAGGATCACAAGTTTGAGCCCAGCCTGGGCAACTTAGCAAGATCTTGTCTCAAAATAAAAAATGAGAAGGACTGATATGTAGCTCAGTGAGAAGGCCCTGGGTTCAATCCCCAGTACTGCAAATAAGTAAGTAAATAAGCAAGCCTCCTTCCTCTTAAGCTTGAGAAACGTAGTTTTTTTCTTAATGAGATTCTCATGGACCCAGCTTCTTTGTCCTTTGTCCTTTTTTGTTAGTGTGCTTACTCTTTGTATCTCTGCATAAGAGCATTTCTGTCAGTCAGACCCAGAGGCGGCCTGGTGTGGTAGTACACTTGGGAGGTGGAGGCGGAGGATCACCATGAGTTTGAGGCCAGCCTGGGCTACATAGTGAGGTTCTGTTTCAACCCCTCCCCACCCCTCAAAAGACCCGGGAGAGGTAGTTAATTTGGGAGCTTTGGCAGGCGGTTCTGTGCTCTGTCACTTGGGTACAAAGAAATGAGAGAGCTCAGATGTATTGTTATGCACTGTGCTAAGCACTCTACAAGCATTTTCATTTTGGGACTAATACCAACCAAGCATTATTGGTGGGCTCATTTTTGCAACAAGGAAATAGAGGCCAGGTGTCCTAGGTCACTCTGCTAGCGAGTGGCTGGGACAGATCTTGAGCTTGTATCTCTCTGATCCTGAGTTCTGTCCTCTTAACTTTCATGACGTTGCTTCTCATATGCAGGCCCTCCTTCCTGCAGTCTTGAGTCTTCTAGGACTTTGGTGACCTCTGCCTTTTTGACCTCAGATGACTTCTTTGCTGATGCATAAACTCTTGGAGGCCATTGTACATTTCAGAGGATTAGTTTGGCTGCCTTAGTTCTAGGACTGAACCTTTAACTTTGCCTCCTCACAACACCAGTATTTAAGACATACTCACCTGTGTTCAAGCTTCGACCTATAAAATCAGCATATACAGAGCTGTGTTTGCACACCCGACTTGCATTGGATGCTTCTAACTCAGCCCACGTGTCCTCACCCTGGCATGGTTTCTAGAAGATGGAAAGGGCTGTGGGATCTCTTTGGCTTGTGAACCTGTCACATCTAGAATTGAGCAGCCACTTGAATATTAAAAACACCTCAAGATTCTAATGTATTATTTCCCAAAATATTTATGCTTACAAAGTAAATAAAAATTTCTCCCTAATAACGTTTCTAGAGTATACTACCTACCATCATAAAACAGACTTAGAACAATTTTGTATGCCTCTTAGGAATCTAGCATGTTTTTGCTTTCTCATAATGTCACTCTAGGAGTGTACAAATAACTTTCTCTTGTGCACCTATGCTGCAGGAAAAACTTATGTCTGAGGAAAAACTTTACATGTGTTTGAGGTGGGACCACTCATGTCAGATGCTACTCTTGAATAACATTGAATTATAAACTGAAATGTATGGTTTCCATAAAATGGTAGTAGTAATAGTGAAGCAATCATAAAACAGTTTGTAAAAATTTAGTTGTCAGAGTGTTGTTTTAAAAGAAAAAACACATTAATTCTCCCTTCCTGTAAAATGAGGCCCAATAGCTTAAGGCAGTGCTGGGTAAGCAGGAATCCTTACAAATAATAACTTTAAAGAATGGGACCCAAAGTCTAACCACTCCATGATCATTCTGTTACAAATGTGTCTGTTGCCTAGGCTAACGTTGCCTAGCTTCCTACAAGCACAACGATTGTAGAATGAGAGAATAGTTCTTACCTAAAATTTCCAAACCTGTGTGTATAGTGATACAGAGACCCCGCTAAGCACTCAAATAGGAGGAGATTCTTGCCCTCTTCTTATGCAGAGATCCCTGTTCTGCCTGTGGGGAGAAGAGAGGGTTGTCAGAATGTAGTTTCAAGAATGTTAGAAGCTGTACTTTGGGTCCTCTGCTGCTGATGTGAGGATCACCCAAGTCTCTGTGGAGGGCAAAGGGTAAGGTAAGAAAGCAGTCATTGCTCACAGACTGAGAAATCTGAAACCTTAGAAATTCTTGCTGATGAATTTTATTCCCTTGTAGTATGAGAAACCTTTTCTTTCTTCTTAGTGATACGTGGAATAAATCACTGGTGGTGAAAAATATTTGAGATAAATGCAACTGTCAGATAGTTTCCTAGGAGTTCTGCAAAGGCACAGGATGACTACAAACAGTTGAAATCTCTGCAGACCGTTTGGGAGCTCCAGCATGTTGTCAGTAGCCCCGGGCTCAGTGCTGTATTGTTAGTAGTAGTTTTGTTGGTACGTGTTCTGGAAAAATTCAACCATTTCTTCAAAATTTCTGCTAAGTGCAAACACTAAGCCCAGGTTGAAAATGTTCACAGAGATATTAACAAATTCTAATGAAGGTTTGGTTTCCAGGCACTCACAACACAATTTCTAAACAAAAATGAGAAAAATAACCTTGGATGTATGGAGCATCATTACACAATGACATTTCAGGTTAATTAAGTATGCTGGAGCGCCCAAGGAATTTTGACCTCTTTTGTTGTTGTAGAGAATGAACTACTGAATAAAAACATGTAAATATTTATAAAGGGGATGATGTTCAAGATTGTAAAAAATGTAGATCAGCAACTAGAAGAAAATGCTTTTATATGAATTCAAAAGTGAAATGCTTTTTTATCCTAAGTAAAATTTCAACCCTCTGATGTGCTAGCTTTTCTGTATGTTGGCTTTTGAGTACAGTGTATTCACGTTAATCTTTTTATTGGCTCCTACTTACTACATGAACAAGTTGTGAAAAAAGAAAATGGGTCAACTCTAGAAGACTATATCAACTTCCTGTGTAAAAGTGTGACTCACATTCTATGTGGAGTCGTTACTTATGGCAGGCATCTAACAACCAATTTGCTCTTTTCCCAGCTGACTTGGGTGTCGACCCCTTGGCAGTGTTTATGGCCAGCAGCGGAACCACAGACATCGCAAATCGCAACAGCCCCGCCACCCCGCCAAACACCCTTAATCTCCGTTCCTCTCACAATGAACTGTTGAATGCTGAAATAAAACACGCAGACCCCAAGAACAGCACACCTCCCAAATGCAGGAAAAAATATGCACTAACTAACATCCAGGCGGCGATGGGCCTCTCGGATCCCGCTGCACAGCCCCTGCTGGGAAATAGCTCTGCCAACATCAAGCTGGTGAAAAATGGGGAGAACCAGCTCCGGAAGGCTGCGGAGCAAGGGCAGCAAGACCCCAACAAAAACATCAGCCCTGCTGCAGTCATCAACATAACTTCTGAGAAGTTAGAGGGGAAGGAGCCCCATGCCCAAGAGCCCATGGGCTGTGAGATTATGCCCGCCCAGCCCAGGAGAACTAAGAGCTTCCTCAACTACTATGCAGACCTGGAAACCTCGGCCCGAGAACTGGAGCAGAACCTGGGCAACCACCAAGGGCTTGGGGAGGAGAAGGCCCAGCCAGGCCAGGGCCAGGCCCCTGCTGTCATTGGAAATGGAGACTTGCTGCTGCAGAAACCAAACAAACCCCAGTGCAGTCCAGAAGATGGCCAGGTAGCCACCGTGTCCTCCAGCCCAGAGACCAAGAAGGATCACCCAAAAACGGGGGCCAAAACCGACTGTGCGCTCCACCGGATCCAGAACCTGGCACCTAGCGATGAGGAGTCAAGCTGGACGACACTGTCCCATGACAGCGCCTCCCCCAGCTCCCCAGACGAAGCAGGTACCGAGGGGGAGGGGCCTTGGGTGGCTCTTGCTTTTGGTGCTTCCAGCTATTGGTCAACAAACCTGTAGACTGACCAAGAATGTCCATCACTAGGCGAGAGAAATGAGAGCCTTTTAAGGGAAAACTGGGCAGTGTGTTTGGAAAATATCATTACTCTTCACCCACGTCTTAGATTAGTTTCATTTTGGATCATTCATAAGTTGTGTGTTCTGGTAAGCACTTTTGTGGAAGAAATAGGTCCTTGGTTAAGTACAGTAAAACATCACTGATACAGAAATTGTGCTACAGTGCTTACGTAAACTTTCTGTATGCTGTATACAAATGTCAGATTCTGTTACATGTTGATAAAACACAGTTGCCAAGGGCAAGATATAACCCGATTAAGACAACCAGCTATTTTGAAGTCAACTATTTTTAAAGAAATTATCTAGTAGTTAGGGTGGTGCACATCTGTAATTCTAGCACCCTGGGAGGCAGAGGCAGGAGGACCCCGGCCTGGGGCCAACCTGGGCAACATAGTGAGAGCCTATCTCAAAATAAAAATTAAAGGAGCTGGATATGTAGCTCAGTGTAAAGGCCCTGCGTTTAATCCACAGTGCCACCAAAACAACAACAAAAAGAGCACTTATTTATGTGTAAGCTGATGAAAAGTTAAAACATTAGAAGTTTATTCCTTAATAGAAATTTTCCTTTAATTTTCATTAAGGAATAGTTTATATCCTGTTTAAGTGACATTTGAAAGTGAGAGAATGGTATGTCTCATAAAATATATGTAGACGTTTAAGACTTTCACTAGTCTAATTGAGATTGGTCATTGATAGTTTTATGTGTATTTGTATGTCCTTATTTGTTGGGGTGTTACACTGTGAGAGAAAAGAACAGGGCCCTAAAGGTCATCTACTTTTAATCTCATTTTCTCATTGTCCCTAATCTGTTGATCGGAAGAATGACAGCTGCAGAGGGTTTTGCTGCCCATGAGTTCAGTGCAAGCAGACTCAGAAAGGTAGCCCTGCAGCTACCCCTGTGGGTCTCTGGGCTGTGTTAATATGAGACAGATGTATCAAAAATGTCTAATAGAAAGCAAGGAAATAAATTTTTTAACCTATAAACTAGATAAATCGTAAGGAATAAATATAGGAAAAAGAGGAGAAAGTGAAGCCATTGATAGTTTTTTTAAAAAAGAAGTGTTTTTGAAGCAGCCTTTAAGGCCCCAGTCCTTTGAGTGAAGGATTTCATCAGCTGGCTGTAGCTGAGATTGGTCTTTTTCATCTCAGAAGTGGCATCCTTGGTATCATAGTTACGTGTAGTACTGTCAGAGTCCACAACGCTGTTACTTTTTACCCATTTAGAGAATTCCTATCCTGTACCTGATGGACATTGCTCCCTGCTAGGGTGTGAAGCTACAGAAACCATTCTGTGAGCATCTTTTAGCAAAGTCCTACCTCTTACTTGTGGAGCCACCACGTACTGAGACCTCGCTGACGTCCTCTGGTCCCGGCAGCCTTCCCACTGCTCTTCTGGGTGGGAGGTGTCCTCCTGGAGTTCAATTTTAAATTAACTGCAAGAGCTTAAATGAACAGTGTAATCTCCACTGTCCCTCATCAGAGTTCTTATTCCCAAAGATCACTGCTAACTCTTTTGGGGTCTGGAGGTATTTCCATAAAACACTTTAGGCAAGTATCCACATTTATAGTAAATTTTAAAATTTACTCAAATTCTGTAAGTCATCTTTTAGAGGTAAGAACTAATATACTAATACATATACAGTAATGGCATAATAGGACTTGGCCCTGTGTATCCACAGGTTCTGCCTTTGTGGATTCAGCCAATGCTGATCAACAGTATTTGGTGGAAAAAATTGCAACATATAGAGATGTTATTTTCTTGTCATTCCCTAAATAATATAGTATACCATCTATTTATATAATGTTTATACTGTACTAGGTAGTATAAGTAATCCAGAGATGATTTCAAGTATATGAGAGGACATGTATAGTTTATATACAAATACTATATCATTTTATGTAAGGAGCTTGAGTATCTTTGATTTTGGGGATTCAGTAAGGGTCCTGGAACCCATGCCCCTATAGCTAGCAAGGGATGACTATATAGGCCAACACAACTCATAGGGTGTATGGGACTTTCTCTAAAATAATAGGAGTGGGGGTCAAAAAAAATTACTCATGAGCTGCTAATTGTTAAAACTGGGTTATGGGTTCATGAGATTTTGTGATTCTTTTTCTCTCAGTTTTTATGTTTAGAATTTTCCATAATAAAAAGTTAAAGCAAGAAAAATTACTCAAAATTCCATGCTTTGCCTTTTTGATTTAAGAGTATATTTTAAAAATTAGTGGATTTTTCTGTTTCTTTCCTTTTTAAGCATTTTTCATCCTGTGCTACAGTATGCCAGCTCCATGAGTTATTTAATGATTCCGTCACTGGTGAAGACATAGATATTTCTATGCACAGCCCTTGTGCTTATTGAGTGCTGCCTTCTGTAGGGGCCTATGGAGAGGGAAGACTTTAATCCGAAAGTGTGCATCGCACTCCCCCCGCAGACTCCCAAAATGTGCCTGTGACTTTCTCTCCAGGAAGTCACAAATGTTGATCACACATTTGCTCTCTGTGTCCTGGTGTTGTTTTCTGCTGGGTTTATCCACCAAACCCAGGAGAGTGTTTAGCATGTGATGTGAACTGGATTAAAGTTGCTGCCATGTTGGGAAGGTGTGTTTAGTTTTTGTTCTAAATGTTGGTTTTGAAGATCTTTGGATTTAGATGAATAGCCAGAGATATAACTCAGTGGCACAGCACCTGCCTTGAAAGTACAAGGTCCTAAGTTCGATTCCTGGTACAAAAAAAAAAAAATAGATGAATAAGGATGGCTATGAATAAGATGGCCCTTGATAAATCATGAGTATTGATAGTTTTGAATTAAATATATTTCAAAGAATGTGTTAGCTGTGACTCAAGATCACATTTTTAAAAGCATACTGGGAGACAAATTATTAAGAATTGATATAAATTATTAATAATTGAATATTAATTATTTTGGAATTGCCTTAGAGCCAGTTATGTACTCCTACAAAATGAAAGCTCTTCGTAGTCGCACTTCGGAATTTCAAGTAGTAAACACTACATAGATAGTGAGATAAGCAATTTTTCAGCCCCAGTATTTCTTTTATTTCATCCTTTCAATGAGACATATTGTTAGTATTTTAAATGATCACAATCAGTTTAAAGTAACATTGTATGTTTTATTTGTCATGGTGAAAGTATTTACTACGTGTTTCATGTATATATGTAATAAACACAAATATTAACTGTTGAAGGAAAAGAAACAATAAGACTAAATATTTTTACAATGTTGCTGGGCAGTGCCGTGGTATGTGTAGAAAAATGTACATTTGCCTGTTTGCTATGTGTTGAATAAATACTTATCACAGGAGAGCGTGTGTTATGGTGAAATCATGGCACAGTTATCTTTCGATTGCAGGCTGTGCTTTGGGAGCCTAGAAAATTGGAATAGACCCATTCCTACCTTAGGGGCAGCCTTTTCAAGTTGGAGTGCTATTTATAAAACAGAATGTATTGCCTAATGCGGAGTCTGACTACTTTCTGTTTCCCTTTCTTTCTGAATTGCCCCCTCCAGCTTTTCACCGACATTTTTTAACCAATCAGTCATGTCTACAATATGGTGCAGCTCTTTTCCTCCTGTGAGAAAACAGAAAGCTCTTAAAAAGGAAAAGGTAAAAGAAAAGCATCCCACAGGAGTTTAGGAAGGTTAGAGAATGCCTTGATCCTAGTTCTAAAACAAAGCAACTGTGAACCCGGTTGGGGTTTTGTCCAAGGTACTGCTCCTTCCAGGGCCAAGGCGTGCACAGTGGCTCACATAAGTGCATGCTGATCATGCCTCTGCAGTTCCTCTCTTAACTGATGTGCCATGTGTGCTTCATGAAGACTTTTGAAGGATGGGTCATTTTGAAGCCTTCGGGGATACCAAATTGTACGTTAGATTTTATGTGGGCGTCACAAAATTAGAAACATAGAATGTGATACTGGATGGGCTTGCGTGCATATGCGCGTGCTTGTGTGTTTATGTGTGCGCATGCACTTCGGATCAAACCCAGGACCTAGCATAGCACAAGCTAAGCAAATGTGCTATCACTGAGCCACACCTTCTGTGTCTGAGATAAGTCCCATTTAATGACCGTTTCAAAGTTAGGTTCAGGGCTACAGTGTACAAAAGCAGGATTTTCCACAAAATCAAGTCCAGATGGTGCAGCAAGGCCTCATACTCCATTAACATGGAGGGTGGGCTCTCCAGTCAGCTTCCTGAGGTTAAGTCCCAGCTCTCCCCGGACAGGCAGTTTACATGCCTCTCATCTATGAAACAGACACTCATAGTCTTTTCGTCTGAACTTACCTTTAAGGGTTTAGTAAGAACACCTTCAAAGAGCTCCTAGGACAAAAACAGCTATAGCCAGAATAAATAGTGGTTATTAGTGATGGTTATCAGCACAGTGGTGTGATAAGAACGTTTACTTTTAATTGTGAAATACCCATATTTTAAATTCTGGTTTTAGTTAAGACTTTCTGGGCTTGAAGGGCAAGGAATGGTTCATCATTGTATTGTCAGTTGCTGGACTATTGCAGGTGAGCTTGGTAAATAAGTCATGATTAATTGAATAAAAACGGAGGCTGTCTTCATATCTCCAAACAGTCCTGATTTGTTGTCTGGGCCACTTTATCTTTTTCTTTCTTTCTTTTTTTTTTTTTTTTTTTTTTGTAGTACTGGAGGTTGAACCCAGGGCCTTTGTACTGAGCTTTCTCCCCTTTTTAAATGTTGACACATTGTTTTGCTAAATTGCCCAGGCTGAGCTTCACCTTGCAGTTTTCCTGCCTCAGCCTCCTAATTGCTGGGATTACAGGTATGATCTTAAATCTTAATCAGTGTCTGATTTAGGTATTAGCTATATATTATACAAATTAACTGATCA